GAGAGAAAAAGTTCTCCAGTGGCAACAGAAAGAATGTGCCATGCTGTGACCGACTGAACCGCTCCAGCTCTGGAATTAACAGAGCTTTGCACAGCCGTGAGGCTAAAGAGCAAATACAGTGCTGCGGAGGAATTTATTGGTACTTATTGTGCTGAAGGACAGATGCGGTCCGGTTTTGACCAGCGTAGGAAGGCAGGTTTTTACTGTGATTTATGTAGCTGCTGCTCGGCTAGTTGCCCCTCTGGGTGCCCTCCCAGCTTCCTGCTATCTGTAAAGTTAGTGACGGCCGATGCAAACTGCACCTTTGTGGGACAAAGTTTCCATTCAACTGCTGCTCCAAGGAAGGTGCACAGTGGAGAGTTTTACAACAGAGTCACACAGCTCTTTACAGAGAAGCATTGGGCATATTTGTGACCCCCTCGGCCTTTACCACACTGACCTGTGTGGAAAGAAAGAAAGAAAGAAAGAAAGAAAGAAAGAAAGAAAGAAGAGGGTGAGGGGCAGGATAACCCCATTTGTGATTACTATGGCTCTCCTAACTAATAGGATTGGAGTCAACAAGCTTGAGTTGTTCCTCAGAGATGATGAGTGCTGCCCAATCGGCATGTTGCGTTGAGTGTGTTCCCAGCTCAGGCCGTGACAGGCAGCACGCTCAGCCAACTGTTGCATAGCTGGGATGGAGTTGGTCAAAGGGGATTGCCCTGATTTCCTAAACCTCTCTTGGAATTACGTTCAGCTTCTTCCCTGTTACCTTGTTGTGGGTGTGGAGAGGTTTGGCCTCTGAGGCCTTAAAGCAATTTAACAAGTCTTTAAATAGAATAAACTGTTTATAACATATAAGGATGCCCTGCTAGGTATAGTAGTGTGATTCTGATGTGAATTGTTTTTCATGAAAAATTCAATCAAGTCAGGAAAAATCCCCTTAAAAAATTAAAACTGCTACTTCTCACTTAATGCAAATATTTTTGTTTCAAAACTCTAAAGCTGCGCAAAGGAGAAATATATAAAAAGTGAATACCAAACAAAGAATAAAGCCCAGAATTTGAAAATATACAGCCTTCCTCCTGCACCTAAACACCTCCCACCACATTAACCCGCGGTTCAAAAGCACAAAGATAGTCGAGCTAAAAGTCAACATTGATTTGTAGCTTCATCCAGGACTTAAACCCCACTCTCCTGAGTGAAAGTCGTCCATCCAACCCACTACACCACCACATGCTGCTCCCACTGTGTCCCACTATCTCATCTGTGATTGGATGAAATCTCCCTTCATGGTCTAGATTTTGTAAAACCTTTAAACAAAGTCAGGAGAGTGTGCAGTAATCTAGTTTTCTCGAAGACTAGTTGAATTATAATACGCTGAAAGGTTAGTATGGGATTTTTGCCCAACGATGCCAATAAAAACCTGCCTACACCAGCTTTAACTGCTCAACACAAAGTTTTCTGCTGCACAAAAACAACAAAAAAAGTTTCGATAACCAGGTGTGATGTCACAAATCACGCTGAGATGCAAACTTATATTTTCGGTAAGTACAAGGAAACATCCTCCTTCAAAAGGTGAAGGTGAAAACAGCCTTCTGATGTCACAATGACGTCCAAGTGAAGTAGCAGTTAGCAGGAGGGGGCCTTTACATGTATCTCCTGATTTTGCTCTGATCAACATTTTGTTCCCACCAAACACAAGCCGACTTTCACTGACGCGGCCACTTTACATGTTTAATGTCCTCAATTTGCTCCCCTTGCGGATGTGCTGTGCGCTGCCATGTGTTTGATTTTGTTTGTTTGTGTGTGTGTGTGTGTTTGTTTTTGAATGTGCACAGGAGTGTTGGACATCGGGAGGGTTGGTGACCGGAGGTGACTATCAGACTAGTCTAGCCACCATAGAAACTAAACAGTAGACTCTGCATCTGATCCTCCAGTCTTAGCCTATAGTCTTCTCACTCTGCTCTCTAGAACAAAAGTGAAAGAACGAGAAAAAAAAGTTTTTAAAAAAAACTTGCGGTGATGTGGACTCTCATTAGAAACAACACTGTTACCCTGACTCTGGTAAACGCATGTGGTTTACCATAGAGGCTCTAGCTCTCTACTGTAGTTCAACTCTACCCTCTCATGGTTACGGACTAATCTTAGCGCTGTACTGTCTCACCATCTGTTAGTGTAACAGCAGTACAGTGTGGCGTAGTCTAGTTGTTCTCTAGCTCTATTAGACCAGTATAGACTAATATAGAGGTCTCAAATTCCAATTTTTGCAGCCTGTCTATGATTGCATCCTCATGGCATGGTGTGGTTCTCTCTCCAATCTTAACCTTGGTGACGCTCAGTAGGCTCGTCATGTATTTGCTTTATTCTGTAGTTGTACATTTAAGATTAACAGAAAACATGCTGCTAAAAAACAAAAAAGAAACACACAAGTCAAGCTTGTCCCTTTTTCCTGAGAGCAAATATAAGGAGCTGCAGGGCAGAGGAAGAACCGGATCACCTGAAAGTGCGCAGGACGACGAGAGCTCCCCTGTCGTTGTCGTCACTGAGCTGAGAAAGAACGACAGAAAACAAACAAACAAACAAAACGGGGCGGGTCTGCCGTTGGCGCGGTGTGATTGACAGCTTCTTCTTCTTTCTCTCACTCTCTCTCTGACACACTTTGTCCTACGTCTCCGGCTCTCCTCGCCGAGGTGAAGGCGTGTTTGTGATTGTGGTGCCTGTGTGAGATTCCAGGAGATCACATGTCACACGGTGGTGACGAGAGAGGCAGGGGTTCACTGGACATTCCCAGGCATTCCACCTGAGCACAGCTGTGGACACACACACACACACACACACTCATGCATGCACGCTGACACGTCAAAGGTGCATTCATCTACTGGAATATAAACACAAACGAGTACACACGAGAAAAAAAAACAAAAAACCCGTGGAGTAAAAATACACTCACGTACACGCTGTGCAGCACATCGAGGCACTAACACACATATTGATAATGCGTGACTCAAGAATGTAGAGCAGACGTTCACTTAAAGTCGCTTTCCACTGACAAAATTTGATCCTTTTTATATATATATATATATAAGCTTCAGTAAACTTAGAATTTTGGACTGGTGGACAAATAGCTTAGGATGCATCAGCTTGGGCCGTGGAGAATTTGCAGATTTAACGTTTTGCAGCCTCAGTAATGAACTGATTAACCAAATAATGTAACTGTAAGATCAATCAAAGTTCAAAGTCATCTTTATCTATTCAGTCATCTATTTGTAACACAACATCAGAGTGAAAATCCCAAACTGTACAGTAGAATCTGTAAAAGGGCTTATAGTACAGTGTGTTGTCTGAAGGGGGAATGTAGAGATGGATTTTTATTAAGGTTTAACTAATTATCAGCAGCCTGAAAGTCAGCATTTTTCTTATTATTAGAATCATCTTCTTTTTTTTCGGAACCAACTCAGAACTTTGAAGCTGTTGGTTCTCTTTTGCAGACCCAGTATTAATCTTAATAAGGATAATTTAGTAGAATGTTCAGACTCTAGTAGTTCCTGCTCTGTTTTACAGCAACAGAGCATTGATCTTGTGTAGGTGTGAGGACACACTGTACATGTGGTTTCTGCTTCACCGAGATTCTCCTGCACCATTGTAAAAACTGCCAGTCTGTTTTCTAACACAGCGAATCACAAGAATGGCAGGCCTTTAGAAACAGGTGTTCTTGATATCATGACTATGATTTAGGGCTGGTGAATACGTGTGCGAGGGCAGGAGGATATCATGGATAAATTACAGCTTCATTGCTGAGTTGCTCAAAAATGAAAGATGAGGGTCTGATATCAGAAGACGTCGAGGGAAGGCGACAGGTTGCTGGTTCATCTGTATCATAGCACATCACTAACCGGGCCTCCCTCTTCTCTGTATCCTCTCTTTTAGATTGATCCAAAGGTCGCGTTCCCTCGCAGAGCTCAGCCCAAGGTGAGTCTCTTCATGTTTTTCCTTGTCCACGGTAGGTTGGAGTGTGTCGAATGTTTCGGAGTCTTATCTGGGCTAACGTCTCGTAATCTGATGAACGTGAGCACCGCTGATAGTTATTTGAGCGCACGTTAACAAAAAGTGCAACAACTTTAAGGACTAGCTGCATTTTTGAACACACAAAAACATCTGTATTGTGTTTCAAGTACAGTGTGCTCTGTCCCGATCATGGCCACTTAGTCTTTTCCTTAAACAACAAGACACTGAGAAACAGAAGGAGGTAAACAGCATGAAGACACACTCTAGTGTGATTAAGGCGACCTGTGTGTGGACTTATTTATCCACCAAAACAGTGTCCTGTTTTTACATTATATACTATTCAGAACTTTGAATTTGTGGTGCGTTTACATGGAAAAACTTAACAACATGAATGCCAACATATATATATCAAACATGCATGACTTTATCAGTTTTTAGGTGTTGTTTCCACTAATGTTGTCCTCCCAACTGAAGTGAAAGTTGACTCATAGCTAGATTTATGTAAGAGAGCTACAGTGTTTCTTGCAACAGCACCTTTAAGTTTTTCAAATTTGGAATTCACTGTAGTTATCCAAAGAAATACAATGACTCATATTTGTGCACAGTACTGTTGAAATGGTCTCTTAACCCTATTCAGGACTTTCATGTTGCCATAGGTAGTAGGTCTTCTGGGGTCCATTGTAGAAAGAATATGTGCAAAATATTTGTTGGTATTCATTATAGACTTTTATACTATGTTTAATAAATTTTCTGATAAGTTGACATATTTTTGATCCCAAATGCATGACAAATGTCTCTCTTTTCATATTAAAAAAAAAAAATCTTCAAAAATAAAAAAGCAATACCTGTCACCTAAACCAAATGGCCTGGGGTCCAAAAGTCCTGAATAGGGTTAATGAGTCAGTTAAACGCTACAATTATTGATAAGATGTCAACTATGAAATTAATTGTACACTGTCAATCAAAAAAGTCAATTTTCACTGATTCTAGCTTCCCAACTTTGAATATTTTCTGGTTTATTTACTTCTCTGTGTCTACTTTGCCCATGAAGGATAAAACAAGACATTTGAGGACTTCATCTTGTGCTTTGGAAAACCCTTATCAACACTTTTCACTATTTTCTGACATTTTATACACCAAACATCTAATGAGCTCAGTTTTAAGCACCAAAACCCCCAAATGTACTGTATCCAGAGCTTAAATAAATGCCATTTTTTCTTTATGGTGTTATACTGAGTATCTCTCAGTTTCAGGCTGCTGGATTGAAAACAAAAACAAGCAATTTGTAAAGTAAATGATGAAACTGTCCATATGAGTAAATTAATGAGTTATTTGTAGAGTTAATGTAACGTGATATAAATTGGGCAAAACTTCAGTGATTACCTGCATTTATTTGTACCAGTTTTCTCGGTGAATGCTGAGAAAAAATCCGCTGACAGACGGCTAACAACAAGACATGCACTATCGCAAAGAAGTGAAAACCCCAAATAGTCACAGGTGTCAAACATTTGCTGCAAGCAGCTTTGGCTTTGTCTCCAATGCAGGAAATAGTGTTTTTGTTTAAAAGATTTTCTGAGCTCTAAGTTAGCAAATATCACAAATATTACTTAAGCTTGTGTATTCTTTCAAAGTTTTACCGAGTTAAAAATGTAATTGTTTTAATGTTTTGGGAGCAATACTACTTTAACCCTATTCAGGACTTTTGGGGTCTTTTGGACCCCAAGCCATTTGGTTTAGGTGACAGGTGTTGTTTTTTTTATTCAGTTTTTTAGGATAAAAAGTGGGACATTTGTCATGCATTTATAACCCAAAATACACCAACTTATCAGAACATTTATTTAACATAGTATAAAAGTCTATAATAAATACCAACAAATATTTTGCACATATTTTTTCTTGGGGTCCAAGGAACCCCAAAAGACCTACTACGTGTGGCAACATGACAGTCCTGAATAGAGTTAAATGATCTATTTGATAACTTTTCCATTACATCTGTTGAACTACTGGATCCATACTTAGCAGCCCAGAGTTCTCATAGTCCTAAAGAAAATGAAGCTTCCTGTTTTTTTCCAGCTCAATCAGGACTTGACATGAGCATACAAACTACTGCACTAATATTTAACAGCGTTTTTAGGGAATTTAGTGACATAAAAAACAATGTGTGTTAGCAGTGGAAGCTGTAATTTTATTTCTGATGTGTTACTGAGCACCACAAATTCAAGTAACACTGAATGTGATTTAAAATAACAAATCATAGATATTCAGTTTCCAGTACACAGTTATTGTGGCCTAAAGAATTCACCATGTAATTGCAATATCTATAGAAAATGTTTTTAAAAATTACATTAAGCAGGAGCAGTAATTTTTTACCTTTGTTTAGTGTCACTTTTTGACAAATTAATTACTCTCAAAATAGTGAAAGGAGCTGGACAGAGAGTCTGTAACCATGAATGTATTGCTGATTATCATCCATATTACCAAACCATGTGTTTTATTCACAGACATCTATATTTCATTTTTAAAATATCATTTTTATTGCTGAAATTGGTGTATCACAACACCCCAAATCAAGCTACAAATGCCTGTATTTGTTTTTGAACTGGTTCATCAGTTACTGTCCTCTTCTTCTTCCAGCTGGTGACTCGAACCAAGAAGATCTTTGTGGGAGGCCTGTCAGTGAACACAACCATCGAGGACGTCAAGCAGTACTTTGACCAGTTTGGGAAGGTGAGTGATGTTCAACAGAGTTTTAAAGTTGCTGTGGTGTCATATTGTCGCCAAAATATTGTGGCAAAAAAAACCCCCAAAAACCAGCAGCGTGGTTCAGAATGGAAATAAGGGCAACTCTGTGGATTATAAAGGACTCGCATGAGTTTGTGGCAGCAGCTCAGCAGCTCCCGTCGTACAACATCCCACCAGCTCTGCCGATTCTGATTCACCACAAAATTCTCTGAGAAAAGCTTCACTTTGAGTCAAGCGGCGACCGCATGGAAGTGAAGGAGTTACTGCGACGAAGGAGGAGGAGGGGGGGGCGAGAAAGGAGGGAGAGAAAAAGGCTCGGAGGAGAGTCGGGAAAAATAACGAGGCAAGAGAGAGAGGCTCCGGGAGCAGCAGGCGAAGTTTAGAGGGGGGACTGGAGAGGGGAGCCGAGGGGAGGGGGAGAGAAAAGTTTTGTAGTGAGTGTGTGGTGATGGTGAGGAAGGAGGAGGGATTATCAGAATCTGAATTAATCTGATGTAACAGCTGCTCCTACCCACAACCTCCCCCCTGGCCCGTTACCGTGGTGACCTGGCTTGCCCATTGTCCCCAAGTAATTCTGTGGGTAAGGGGTTTTGTTCTGAAGGAGGAGGGATGAGGTGGTGCTCGGGGGTGTTAGCATGAGTGTGCTGGGTGGGGGTCAGCTCAGGAGTTTAGTTATAGTAAATACAAGTTGACAGATCCACAGAAACCTTGTAAACTTCTCGCTCATCCTTCAGTTTCTTGCGCGCATTTGTGTATTTTTTAAAAAAAACTACTTTTCTACTTTTCCCAAGTTTCTTATATATATTTCATAAGAGCGTGAAAGGCAGGGGGCAGAGAATAGATGATGGGCTGACAAAGGCACCGACGAGGGAGGGAGGGTCTTACTGAGAGGTTTGCGGAGGCGTAGGAGAGGGAACTGGGGCAAAGATGGGGTGTGTGTGTGTGTTGAAGGGGGGTAGTTACGACGGCCATTATGCCTCTATACAAAGCTAGACAAATATTTTGCTAGTTTGTACTGAACTTATCTGCATATTGGACGTTTTCGGTTGTCAGCTCTCCTAAATGTGAAAGTGATTGTCAATAAAATGTGAGATTTAAGTGGTTTAAGTTACTTTTTTTTTCTGGATCTTGTGCAAAACAAATAAGTCAAAACAACAAAAAAAAGAAAACATCCAACTTTTTTTCCCCCTCAAAAGAAAAATCAACAACTTGCACCTTTCGCCCTTGAAACTTCTCAAAGTCAAAGATGCAAAGACTCAGCTTTAGCCGCCACGTTTCCGACTGCGTGGCACTTTTATTTTCGGTGCCAAAAGGCTCGGCCTCCAGTTTCTCCGTGCTCCCTCCTCAATCATAACGCCTAGATGAATTTTTGCCGAGAGAGATATCGAGGGATGGACGGTGAAATGTAGGCTCCAGCCATCCATGGAAGTTCCTGATTAGACTGCCTCACTGGACCTTTTGTGTCCCGTCCTGGTGAGGACAAAGGAGCGCGGAGAGGGATGGGCAGGGGATAACAGGGAAGATGAGAGGTGGGAAAAAAAAAGGATGAGAGGGAATATTGTTTGGCGGTGTGCCGTTAAAATGCCCGGTGTTTGAAATATTGAGCTGTGGCGTGCGATTAACTCTGTTTGCCGCGTTTACTGTTGTTGTTGTTGTTTCTGATTGGGGCGTGTTGGGATGGCGCGCGTGTTTGCCGGGTTAAGATTGCGACTCTTTAGCATGAATCACAACAGTGTGTTGCACTCCTGACCCTTTGCTTTCCTCGAAAATTGATGGTTATAAATTGTGGTAATCTGGACTTTCTCCTAAAAGTCCAAAATAAAGAGTGTTTTCTTCAGAGATCCACAGTTGCTGAGCAAAATGTCAGGCTGGAAGTAAGCAGTGACTTGAGAGGCAGACTAACAGGTCCCCTTTCACACTGACACTCTTCACTCACCTTTGACCTTTCTGTAGGCAAACTGCCCTTGGGGGTTCACACACACACACACACACACACACACACACACACGGTCACTCTGTGCTGACACTCCTATGTGACTATGACAAATTATTCAGTGGACCATATCCAGTACACTTATTATAGACCAAGAGCACAGATTAATTTACCAAATGTTTACGTGGATCTCTGTGTGCAGGCTGGAGTATAAACATGTCTGCTTGTGACAAGAGAGAAAACAGAGAGAGAGAGAGGGAAAAAGAGAAAAGAGTAGGTCAACTTTGACATAAGAAACTCTGGGTGTGTGTGTGTGTGTGTGTGTATAGAATAGACACCTGTGTCTTTGCTCTATAAAGGGAGGCCGGGCCGGAGGGAGAGGTCAAAGGGAGAAGAGGAGGAGGAATTATGGCTGACTGTGCCAACAAACAAAGCCTCCAGGCCTCTTTGTTCTCCCTCTCCCTCTCCCTTTTGTCTCTTCTTTTTCCTCCCTTTCCTCTTTGACCCAATCTTTTTTTTTTCTTCCTCCTCTCCCTCTCTCTCTCCCTCTCTCTCAGGACTCTCCGTGCTCTCTTTCACCATATCTCCACCTGTCGCTATTCCTCTCGCTATCAGCTCTCCCCCTCTCATCGAGTCTCCACCTGCCCACAGGATTCACCTTTCTGCTTGTGACCGGCTACTTTTCTTGTGTCAGCGTTTCTCTCTTTGCGGCCCTCTTTGTCTCACTGGCACTCTCCCACCATTCATAAAGCATATTTGATGTTGGCTCGAGCCTTTTTTTTTTTTATTTTTTTTTATGAGGGTTTTTTTTTTCTTTTTGTACAGTTGCCATGGGAATGTCAAACTTTGAAGGGAGGTGGGGAGGGTTGGATTATGGGCTCTCTGTGAGGAGGATTGTGACCGGGGCAGTTTAGCAGTGGACGCAACTTTTTATGCCACCCATTATGTGTGTGAGCCACCGGGCCTTGTTGTACAGTATTTCAACATATTTTCCTGTCCTTGCCCCCCCAGGCCTCCTCTTTGTAACCTGTCGCTCGTCTCCAGTCTCTCCGCTGCCTCTCTCCCCCCTCCTCCTCTGCCTCCTCCTCCTCCTCCTCCTCCCCTCTGTCCATCTGTTGCTGAGCCTCCCTGCAGAACTTGAGAAGGGCTGAGGTCAGGCAATATGCCGCGTGGCGAGAGAGAGAGTTAAAAAAACTGTGTTGTTTGTCTCCCCTCAGGTCGACGACGCCATGCTCATGTTCGACAAGACCACCAACAGACACAGAGGTGAGCCACACTGACCCTCCTCGTCCCTCGTCCCCTGCCCTCTCCTCCATGGCCCTTCCTCTGTATTTTTTTACTCCTCTTCCTCACAGTCCTTCCTGGGTGTCTATTGATCCCCCCCCCCACCTCCCTCCTCTCCACTCCCCGCGGGCCTCCTTCCTGTGGGCTGAGCTGGAGGAGACGAACGGGGCTAGTCTAATTAGCCAGTCCGTTAATCGGGATCAGGATAAAGCCTCCTTAAGCGCCTCCTCCCCACCCTGCGATTGATCGATTATGACAGCCTACCAGCTTTGCCCGGGCCTTCTGGCCAGGAAGGGAGGGAAGAAAAGGATGAGTGCAGAATAGCAGCATTGGCGGAGTGGGGAGGGGGGGCAAACGTGTTAAGCGGCTATTACAGCACTAATTACTGCAGACTGTTAGCTATGCTAGTGTACAGAAAGGCTAATTCCACCATATTGTGTGATTTTTTTTTTCTTTGCTCATGAACCCATCTTGTCAGGGTTTGGCTTCGTTACATTTGAGAACGAGGACGTGGTGGAGAAAGTCTGCGAGATCCACTTCCACGAGATCAACAACAAAATGGTGAGCTGCAGCTTCTTCTTTTTTTGTCTTAATATCAGCATGTCATTTACAAACTAAAAGAGCTGGTTTGTGTTTTTGTGTTTAAACAGGTGGAGTGTAAGAAAGCTCAGCCCAAGGAGGTGATGTCCCCCACCGGCTCGGCCAGGGGGCGCTCTCGGGTGATGCCCTATGGGATGGACGCCTTCATGCTGGGCATTGGTATGCTGGGTAAGTTAGTATTGATCAGGACAGGAAGGATGCGACTGCACACCTGAACCTGACAATAACTACTCCTGCAGTAAAAGGCTGAGCTTCCTGAAAGGTCACACGGCGCCTCATGGGGAGGAAGATGACCAGTGGAGTGGGCTGAACACACAGCTGATAATTCTCCTCCATGCAGCTTTGATTCAACCATAGAGACTAGAAGCTTGTTGAAACTGCTGGTTTTATGGCAATGCCTCATCCAGACTGGTGTAACATTACGTTGTAACTGTGACTTGTTTCATGCTTTCTTACAAGTACAATTTTACATATGAATCCTCTGAATCCCTAAACCTAGCAGTGAGTTTGAATGTAATACTATTCTTTAAAAAAATCATCAAAGTTGCACCATTTACTAGCAAGAAACTGTAGAAATAAAAAAACAAAACAAAACAAAAAAACAGGCAGAAGCATTGTATTTGCAACTTTCCAATGGCCTGAAATTCATTTGTGGGACTTCCATTAGGAAAATGATCCACGTCTATGCTTAAAATTCAGATATTTCATCAAAATCACTTTATTCTACATCTCAATTAAAATTATTCCTAAAAGTAAACCATTTTCTGAAATCTAATTCTGTAAAAGCCAAAAAATGGTTCACTTCTCGGCACAATAAAACAGCTTTACTAACTCAGTTGAACTGTGAGCTGTGCTTACATATACCAGAGAGGAGACAAATATGAAGCACATAAAAAATTTGAAGTAGTAAAAAAATATATAGTAGAGTCACCATGTTTTGGTCAGTATTGGTAACACCTGTGGGCACTTGAAAAGTAGTGCAAGTAAAGTTTCTGCATTGAAATCTTTACTTAAGTGGTAAACATGTAAGTATTATCACAAAAATGTACTTTTAATTAAAAAAAAAGTAAAACTACTCAATGCAGAAATATCTCCCTTGTAACTGTTATGCTATTATATTAACATATATTATGGTGTATGTTATTTTCACCATTAGTTGATTCGTTGTTTAGTTTGTAAAAATACCAAAAACGAATGAAATGCCTTCACAAGAACCCTGAACATATATCAAAATAGACTTTTTGTCAACCAACTAATCGTTTCAGCTGTCTTCATATAAATTGTAGGCTAGTTATTTTATTACAAAACATTGTATTTTATATGCTCCTTATATGTTTTGTGTGCAAACACCTTCATTTTAGCAGTTATACAGGTGTCAGACAAATGTAGTAAAGGAAAAAGTGCAATGTTTTCCTCTGAGATGTAGCGCAATGAAAAGACAAGTAACATAAAAGGACTTCATATTTGTCACTATAATACAGTACTTTGTTACATTTCAGCTGCCTTTTTAGGGTAGCAAAATAATATTGCACTTCAGGGACTCACAAATGGCAATTTTATAAAAAGAGTGGCCCAAACAGAAGCCTCAGAGAGACACACTGACTTTATGTCCCCAGCATTAGTCATTCTCCAAAAATGCTGGATAAATTCATTCCCGTAAGGCTCCTCAATAGCACCTTTTATTACACCCTCTTTAAACCTTTAACCTCCAGTTTGCGTTCTTTTGGTCAGAGGCTCAGCCCGAGATAACTCTGATGACATCACTGTGACATCAGGGCCAGTTTTCAATAGTTTCGAAGGTCCCTACAGAGCCGGAGAAGACATTTCAACTACTCCTTCTCAGCTGACACCCCCTCACATACGGCCAATCCTCCGGGTGTAAAATTAGCAGAATAGACCTTTGACTGTTTTCATTGCCTTAAACATTATCCTCTGCACTGCAGCCGACTCGTTTTCTAACAGTTTTGTGTTGTGTTGATGTTAGTTAGGACCTGTTTGTCCATCTGAAGCTAAACTTTCCACTCCAATGCTACCACCTACTGTTCAGTGTGAGAACTGCTGTCTTTTAGCGTTTGACTTGTTCAGCCAGAGCAGATGAAGGAATATGACACCACGCCAGGGAAAAATCAAAAAATTTATACTTTGTGTTGTCTCGTGTTGCTCGTAATTCCTCTAAATGTCGTCGCGAGGGCGGCCCTCTGAGGTGTCGGGGAAATCTCTGTGTAATGTGCACTGCTGAGAGTGAAACTGAAGACAAAGACGCTAAGCTGCTCAGTCCTGTCCTGGAGAAATCTAGACCGCAGGTGTAGAATATCATCCACCTGCAGCCTGTACAAGGCTTCACTGTTAGGGGGCAGCACAACAACACACACCTGTTACTCCATTTTGTGTTCAGAGTTTCTTTTGTGTGTAATTGCCACTACAACAACATCCAGTGCCTTTTCTTTTCTTGATGGTTGACATTAACAGTGATGTTCTTCCCTCAGGTTATCCAGGCTTCCAGACTGCCACCTACACCAGTCGCAGCTACGCCGGCATCACTCCGGGATACACCTACCAGTTCCCTGGTAATCACAACACACCTCTTGCTCCTCATGCACTCTGACATGTTCCTGTCACATTAACTGACAAATAAATACACATGTATTTAGTGCAGTTAGCAGGTGCAAGTGTGCATGATTTAAAATGCCTGGAACTGGCTAAAAGGACATGTTTTAATAGTCTGGCTCTCCTTGTAATGCAGCTAAAACCGCAATAACCAAAATAATTTTTACAGGTTTTTTCACACACATTTAGTGATTGAGGGGATATCACAAGAAATACAATGACAACTTGTGTTTGCTATAAAGTTGAAAAAAAAAAAAAAAAACTTGCAGCACCTTCAGTTTCATGCAGGGAAATTTAACACAAATGTCAGAATACGGGTAGAATAGAATTACATGTTTGATAGGAAATATTGTTGTGTGGTGAGCAATGTGCAACTAAATATGTATTAATTCACTGAGCAGCGAATAGAAATGTGGTTGAATGGAGAGTTGCATCATGTTGAATCATTATTCTGGAAAAGAAATTGTCAATAATCTTATGAATAATCTTTACTGTGTCCTATGCAAATACACAATCAATCACACAAGTATAAGGAAAAAAATAGGAAACGTAAGACAATACAAATTTAGTGCTGGCCAAGTGGAGATGACAAAACAGTGAGTGTCCAACTTCTTATTAATACAAGTCCTTATGCTTGATCCACAGTCCAGAAGGTTTCTGAGGAACTCTGATTTTAAATATGAAAATCCTTCATTCATACATGATTAAATGTTTAAGTCTTCATCAGGATGTTGAGTGTAACGGTTTCAGATTCATTAACCAATCATGTGGCACAGCTCACCTGATGTGTAAATTCTGTCACTTCAAAAAAGACACATGCAACACTCCCCCTCTGGTGAAAATCACATTTTATTTTTACCTTGTAAACATGTCAATACGTTGTTTTTTTATATGCGAGAAAACACATCATCAGTGAAATAACCAACACAATGGCTTAGTATTTTTGCCTTTGCACTGCAGTGTACTAATGACAGTCTCAAAAACATTGATTCAGACTTCCAGTGTGTCACACAGAACAAATTTAAGGACCAAATCCTCTCAACTTGCAGGATGGGACTCATTATGTATTGTTGTTTTTCTTCAGAATTAGTTTCTGGTTAAAAAATTATGAATGAATGCCAATATTGTGTAATGTAAAGTAGTTTTATAGAATCTGAGCAGAGTCAGAGGTGAGCTGTGTGCTCAAGCTGCATAAACTTCATAAACTGAGTTACATCAAAGTAAACTTAGGTCAGGAAGGGATTATTTTTAATTGATAAAAACTTGTAAATATTACTTATAGAGATGAGCTTTTCAGGGTTAAACAAAAGACCAGAGAAGGATTTAAAGGATGATCTAAAAATATCATAACCTGTGTAAGTCGACGTCACAATGAAAACTAAAATGCTCGTAATAAATTGCCACTTGTGGTGCTTGTTTGAACCATTAGTCAAAGTTTAAAAAATGTGTCCAACAAAAATATTTAAATTTAGGGAAAATTATGATGATAAACAGCCCTAAAAATGTTTCAAAATGAGACCACGCAGTCCAAAAAAAAAAAAAAAACGGTATACAAAAACATGAGAAAATCATAAAACAACATTGTATTCCTTGTGAAACATCGTGATGAAACCATGGTGTGATTAAATCATAGTATGCTCAGTGGCCCTGAGAGTCCATACACTCAGGTAGTGTATGCACATTCATTTTAATGTCCTTAAATAGGATATATATATGATTTGTCTATACTGTGATTTGAAATTCATCTGTTTCCCTCAACTCTGCACCCTGAAGACTCTCTGAGCTGAAAAGTGTCGTGTTTGTTCTTGTATTTATTGGGGTTTCCTGAATTTTTCAGCCCCTGACCCCCTAAATATCCCATAGCCAGAGGGTCTTGACTCCCACTGGGCCCAGAGATGGTTAAAGCAAACCTATGTTGCAGCTATATATACATCCTAATAGGCATGTTTGAGAACAGGAATAACATAAAAGGACACAGCAACTTATCAAACATAATATATGTTATAGAGCAATTTAATACAGGCTAGTTGCAAAACACATTACATAAAGTACTCTAAATGCATAAGCTGTAGTACTGAGTGAACACACAGTATGCAGGAGAAGCAGCCTCACAGCTTTTTAAAAAAAAATCTCTTCTTCCAATTTGGGCAAAAATATGCTATTTTTAATCAGTTTATGTTTGTTTTCTAAAAATCAACCCCCCTCAGAGTCTAAGCTGGAGGTTCCAGCCACTGTTTTGGGAACTACCGTCTTTCAATATTTAAAATCAGAGTGTCTGAGGTACTTTCAGGGCTGCTAACCAATACTGAGGATTGAATTTAATAAGGAGCGGGCCAGTCGTCATTTTTTCCATCTCAAAGTAGTTTCATGTTGAACTGACAGCAGACACACTGTCACAAATACAAACATGTTTCCATAGAAGCACGTGAAACACTGTGAGTGTAAATGGCTGCTTGTAAATATCAGGGAGTGGAATTGCATCTGCTTATCATGTGTGTGTGTGTGTGTGTGGGTGTGTGTGTGCAGTGTATTTCAGTGCAGCGTGTGATGATGATCCGAGCAATAACTCCAGAATTAGATGCCCACCAGACAAAATATGACACTTTATTTTCTAACATTGAAATAACTCCTTTGAATTGAAGTTTCTATGCTAAAACTGTGACACTTTCTTTATTTATTTGCTCTTTCAGAATGATTACTGTGTTGGATTATAAAGCGTCTTTCCTTCCTTTAACTCCTGTTTTGCATTCCTCCAGCCCTGTGTGTTGTATTGCCTCACCTCTGAGGTGTCTCCCTGCCTTTGTGTGTAAGTGTGTGTGTTGTCCTTTGCTGGCGGTGGTGGTGTGTGTCTCAACAGCACTCTGATGTTTCTGTTTTAGAGTTCCACTTAGAGAGGACTCCCCTTCTGACTTCACCCCACCCCCCTGAGCTCACAGGTCAGTCAGTCCCTCCTCTGGACTTTACAAGCAGCATGATGTCAGTCTGCTACACGCCACGTTAGCACCAACACCTCATCACTCTTTGGTTTGCATGTTTGTGTTTGTCGGTCCTCCTCGGGTTCTGTCTGCAGGCAGGACTGCTGACAGTAATGGGGAAGGGTTGTATTCGTTTTTTTTATATGATAAAATGATGTATAGTGTGATTACCTGCAATGCTCTAATTGGCAGTTTTTATGTTATCTTCCTCATGTCTCTTGAAATGTTCATAAAGTTTCTGCGGTCACTGGAGCGAGGCCTTAAGTTACGCTACAGCTGCCTGTCATATGCTTCCAAACCGGGATGTTTAACCTGAATCTTCTCTTCTTGCGCCATTTAGCCATTCCTCTCACAGCGTACGGACCAATGGCAGCAGCAGCGGCAGCGGCAGCAGTAGTCAGAGGTATAAACTTCTGAAATGACTGGCCAAACAACAGAAATCCTAAATAATTTCATTATTAATACGTCTTGATGACCACCAAGTACAACTGAGACTGACATTTTACTCAGAATTGCAAATATCTGCGTGGACTAACGTGGGGAATCATTGCGGTCCCATGAACCGTGGTGATAGTGTGGCTAAAAATGAGCTACATTTCAATAAAAGATAGATTAGAGAAATTACTTTAAATCCTTACAGGTTAGAAAATTTACATTTTAATATTTAAGTCCTCTTCATTATCCTAGTCAGTGCTCTCTTACCTGTAACACTAAAGTAGATATGATGTAGACTGAATGACATTTCCTTGGTTTATTTAACTGATATTAATAATTTTGATAACTGTGTATTCGGCAGCCATTTGACCCTCTGAACCCTAAATAGTTTCTGGGTGTTTTTTTTTTTTTTTTTTTGGTCCTGTCACATTTTTACTCACTGTGGATTTATTTTTCACTGCAATACAAAGTCCTGTCCCTCTATGGAAACAGCACAAGCATGGCTAGAAGGAGAGAGAACTCATAAAATGTCTTCCGTCCAGTATGACAGGGTTATGATACAAGAATGTATATATAATGCCGTTGATTATTTATTTT